TATCAGACTGAAATACAGAAAAGTATTTTTGTAATTTAAACATTTTAATTCTGAAGAAACAGTTTCCACAGCTCTTTGAAATAACAAGATAAAACAATTTAATTTAGCTTTGGAATTGTCAATGGACTTTTCTTTTGGGGTTGGGGGAAAGGACGGGGTAGTCGTGATGTCCTCATCCTGCAAAGTGAGTCCGCACTGTAAGTACTCCTCCACGTGTACAACACTTCTGAACTTCAGTGAGAATTCCAGACAGAACTGTTTGAAGTTAGTGCTAAAGGTACGAAACAGGATTATCCTGGAGGAGGTATTATAAAAAGCGGAATGATAAAACATTCAGACTCAGGTTGATAACTCACAGCCATGGGAGAAACAGCACCTGATGACAAAGGGACTTCCAGACCGAGGTTTCTACACTGGAGTCCTTTTCAGGATTTTTAAAATCTGAAGTTCACATACAAAGAAGATATGTTATTATTTTCAAGTACATATTCACTTCAGCTTAATATAAAAAGAACTGTTTTGTTGATCTTGTCAGGAATAAATTATTTCATGTTTCTGTTGACAAGATTAGCTCAGGGAAAATTTAATCTGAAGCAGAGATAAAGGAAGACATCTGTCGATTTCCTTTTCAAAACGGAAGACAGAAGGAGTAGCTAGATAAATAGGAAAATGGTAGCTAGATGAATATAAATCACTTGAGGATTACTTGGCTTATCTTAGAGTATGTTATTATCAAAACTCAAAAAATAGTCAAAGAAATTAGACCTTGGGTCCAAATTTAACAGATGCAACGACAAAGACTTGCAAAGCCAGAAAATGAAAAATTTGTTGTTTTTACAATCAGTCTCAGTAACACCACAGTACAGTCACGCGCTGTTTAACAAAGGGGAATGTACAGTGAGGCGATACTGTCGCTGAGTGAACGTCACCGGGTGTCCTCACAATCTAACACCCTGATTTCACTAGCGGATGTACTCTAATGGGACCTCTGTACACGTGGCCTGTCCACAATTGAAACGTTGCTAGGTGACGTTTGGGCCCTTCTGATTTAATCTCTGGGAATCAGGAGGGTTACACGATCCAGTGAAATGACTTAAGACAAGGAAACAAGTGTAACTAAAGAAATCACTCCAGAAGCTAGTACACCTTCTATTTGTTTGTTTGTTTGTCTCACTATGTAATTCAGACTGCTCTGGAACTCACTGTGTAGCCCAGGCTGTTCTCAAACTTGCAGTGATCCTCCTGCCTCAGCCTCCCGAGTGCTGGGATTACAGGCCTGTGCCAGCACGCCCAGCTTACACCTTCTATTTTAATTTTGCACTATTCTTCTCTCCTCATCAGACCTCAAACCTAACACCTGCACTGTAAATCTAAGACTGGAGTGTTCCAGAATGAGATGAGCTAACGCAGACAATCAGAGAATACAGTGATCTCTAAAAGTAACATTAACCTCCTTGGCCTTCTCAGAGAACACTATCAAGCTGCAAGAGAACCCTGCTGAAAGATGAACTAATCGAATCCCTATATTTTATCATAATTAAGAGTCTTTTTGGAAACACATCCTGCACAAACCACGCTTACTCCTATTTTTTTGTTTGTTTGTTTTTTGAGACAGGGTCTCACTATGTACTTGAGACTGACCTGGAACTCACTGTGTAGCCCAGGCTGGTCTCAAACTCACAGCGATCCTCCTGCCTCAGCCTCCCAAATGCGGGGTTTACAGGTGTGCTCCACCACTCTTGGCTCAGGCTCACTTACTCCTATTTTAACCAGGACATTTACTTGCCCATGGCAATCTGGCCATTATTCAAAGAATTCAAGAATGCAGTTTAAGAATAACAATAACAAAAATTTCAATCAGTTCCTCTATAGTTTCTTTCAGATTTTATAATTACTTTAAGGTTGGTAAACCAGATAGTTTTTAAATGAGAAAAGGGGCTTTTCAGTGCCCAGGATCAAACCCAGGGCCGCCCACACGCAAAGGCTTTACCACTGACCTACACCCAGCCTCAGTGAATTAACTCCGTAAAGCTTACACTAAGTAGCTAACTGCGTTCTTAGTTAAGAGAACAAAGACCACGAAGTTTTATGTCATCTTTTCTGTATATCCATTTAAGGTGCTTATGAAGACTTTTCCCCTAAAACAGATCAGGGACATTATTTATAACTCTTCTTTCACTATTATTATCCCTAACAAAATTTTCCTCTTTAAAAATTACTTAATATCATGGATGGAAAACAAAGTTAATAACATAACTGAATCGTATCAAGTTAGGTCTAAACTTCACTAAGAGTACACATTGATCTAATACATATGGCTCAAGAGAAGAACAACAAGAATAAAAGTAAGCCCAAAAGAATGATTATCAGTCAGAGGAGAAACTAGAGCGGGTAAAATTTGAGACACAATCTAATCTCATTTCTTCACTCCCTTCATTTACAGAGGAGAAAAGAGCCGCTGTAAGAGGAGAAATGCTTTGTCCAAGTTATATAGCTCACGGAAAAGAAAGGCAAGACTTAGGGCTACGTCATGCAAAATGCTGGATACTTTAAAAATAATATAACGGCCGGGGATTTAGCTCAGCGTTTCGGTGGCCTGCCTTGCAAGTGCAAGGACCCGAGTTCAATCCCCGGTATCAAAAAAAAAAAAAAAAAATTAGAAAACAGAAACTATTAAGCTCTAAGTTAAAAAACAAAAAGTAAGCACAAAAACAAAGAAATCTTTGCAAGTTATATAAGTCTGTTACATGACAAAAACTTTAGGGTAACAATAATAAAGTAATTATTATTATTTACCTTATAATAATAATTATTACCTACTATTATTAAAGTCTACTTCAGAAAATGTAACAAGCTTGAAAAGAACAAAAATATAACTTTACTAGTAATGGTAACTAGCAAAATAATAGGAGACTGATTATAGTCAGAGGGAAGGTGTCTTTTAAAATTCTGAATCATTATAAAATAAAAAATTTGTTTCCCTATCTGAAAAAACTGGTACAGTGCTCAATAAAGTCCGTATATTATAAACAATGTTATCATACCAATAAAAATAAAGGACACAACAGACATAAGTGATTATCGAAAAAAATGTGAAGGAAATAATCCCTCAATGAATTTACACAGACTGAATTAGCTTATTTTTTAGGAAGTAATGTTGTACTGGCTTACAGTTTGATTAAAATACTAGTGAAAACTACTTTCCTTTGTCTTTATAGCAACAAAGTTTTTACTTTCTAATTAAAAGTCAGGGAGTAAGAAATATGCTTATTAATTTACATTAAATCTTTACAAGTCTACAAAATCAGAATGTCTCAAAAGGTGACTGGTTCTGGATAGACTTTAACATTTTATTTCCCAGAAGATTTGGATCCTGAGAGAGAGTATAATCCTGTATCAACGTGACCATTAAAGAAGTAGGGGATTAAAATGAGAAAAAATATCCCAGGAGCACACACACACACACAAAGATAATTAAACTATAAAGAGATGCCAACATATTTTATATAAAATAGATCAGCACTGTATAAGAATAATGTATAAAATTTTATGACTAATATCAAACCACTGAATTAAATGTAAATATTGTACTTTCTCCCATTTTAATTGGTCATAAAAAGCTTAAAAGAATCATGAGTTCCTTTGTAAATCTTGGGTCTAAAATCCATGGTGTGTGAACAATGGTACACAGGTTTAAAAAACAACACACACACACACACACACACACACACACACACACAATCAGTCTCAGTGCCGTAACTTAAAAGTCTAACGATGATTCAAACCAACAAGTTACAGTGATCACTTTTCAAAACTTGCCTCAGCTGGGGATTTAGCTCGGCGGCTTGGTGGCCTACCTAGCAAGCGCAAGGACCCGAGTTCAATCCCCAGTACCAGAAAAAAACTTGCCTCAACTAGAAAGAATTAGGTAACATAGTTAACTGTACTCCAAAAAAAAAAGTTACAGGGCCCAGGTTCCTCTTTATATTGTCCTTATAAATCTCAGTCAAGCCAACCTAATATATTTATGTAATTTCATATAAAAGGAAAGATGTAATGGAGATCTCCCAATGTCTGATAAAAATTATAAATTCAACCTTATAAAATGTGAGCATATATTCTGGTGTAATGTACATCAAAGAGCCAAACAACTTAAAAGCACAACTACTCTTGAAAAAGAAACTTTTTCTGAGGAGGTTAAATAGATCACTAATTTAAGGACTATACCAATAAATATTGGTCTAATTGCCTATTTTGTTGTTAATGCTAAAAATAAATACTACAGAAGATCCTATTCTTGTTTTCTACAATCCTCATAAATTCTAACAAAAACAGTACCAGTACAGCAATCTTATAGGTTATGAAATACTATAAATGTTATCTCATTTGATCCTCACAACATCCAGTGAGGTTGGTTTGGATTGAACATTACCTTCTACTTATTTTAAACTGAGACTACAAGAAATTAAACAACCAGCCCACTTGACATAATTGTAGACCCTTAAATTCCAAGCCCAAGGACATTCTCATTATGTTAGATCATGTAAGTCATCCAAATATGATTATACCTCAATGTATCTTTGGCATGTCAAAAAGCAATATAAAAATCATCATACTCAAGTTTTGGTATAATGTCTTCTAAGCTCTAGCCAATAGTTTATCAACAAATTGTAGTTATTCTTATTTCATGGAGATATAGCCCAAACTAAGGTGGGTACAATTTCAGTTATTTCCATGAAGTGGGAAATAACTAGCTCTAATGAGATAGGTTAAATGCAGTCAATTTTTCTAATTTGAAGAGATTCTTATAATTTTTATAAATCTTTAAAAAGCAGCAGAAAGGTTTGCTAGAATATTCATTCACTCAAACAGTACACAGAGCTCTAACTTAGCATGAGGCTAATGGAGCTTAATTACTTATTTGTTTGTTTTTTGAGACAGGGTCTCACTGTAGTTGAGACTGACCTGGAACTCACTATGTAGCCCAGGCCGGTCTCGAACTCACAGCGATCCTCCTGCCTCAGCCTCCCGAGTGCTGGGATTACAGGTGTGCGCCACAACACCCGGCCTTTAATTACTTATTTGTAAGAGTCACTGTTCACTATTAAAATTGATTTAAATGTTTGGCACATTTGTACACACAAATTAAAACAGTAATATTACTCTAGGAAAAATAAGCTTCATCTGGTATAATTTATGCATTTCTAACTCATTTCACTTAGTTTAAATTTAAGCTGCATGACAAGTTGTTCTTGAATTTAAATGTTTATTTAAAAACTATGGGCTAAGTTTTGTGCTAGTTCTTGGGTTATCTGTTTTTTGAAACAAATTGTTTTGAGCCTAGTACAGTACTTAGATCTTTTACCTAATTCCCGGATAAAACAATATTGCTGAAATCAAAGTACTTTTCAAAAACCTTTAGATGATAATATAACATCCTAGAGAGAACCATTGTTTTCTTAGTTGTAAATTGTACAAATAAAACATTAAACACAAATTAAAGTTAAAGAGACAGTAAGAAAACTGTCCAGACTTGTTCAAGTTGGTTGAATCAAGTTGAGATTTGATATCATGTTGTTCTGCTATAGTTCTTCAATAGTCTCTTCTAAAAGAAAAAAATTCTTCTTTTGGAGCACTAGCTTGACAATAAATAATATGGTCCAAACTGTTTCTTAAAACAATGGATTAAGAATGTTATATAAATTTTGTGGAGCAAAATTAAAATATTACTGAAAAGTCAATATAGCATTCACATATATACCAACAATCAGTTTAGTAGAGAAGATACAAATAAATATATAAAATCTGGATGCATAAAGTTATGATTTTCATAGCAATGTTCACTTAACTGTCTACACTTGGCCCATTTATACAGAATGCCAATTAACATTTTGGCAGTTGATAATATAATGCAGATGGTGATGGATGACGACATCTTTGAACTCAAACTGATACCTTTTTATTTCTGTTTGTGGACATTTCTGTTCTCTCACGCTGTTTTAGGAAAGATTATCACACAGAAAGCTTCATGAATGATTGCTTTATTTATCAATGAGTTGTAATTTGGGCCTTCAGAGAAAGGGTTTACTAACTGTCAGACTTGAGGGAATTCAGACCTGGTCTGTTTGAGTGCTAACTCTAGTTCCAAGGAGAAAGACAAGTAAAAAGAATAACATTTTGGGTCAAATGTGTGAATATATCTTATGAAGAATTACTGTTAAGATTTATGTACTTTCAAGGAACTGACATGATATACAAATAAATGATTATTAGAAAACTGACTTTTGCCTGATGAAAACTTTTTTTTTTTCTAACTCCCCAAATCTTGGTAGCCTTTGTCTTAAAAGGGTGAGAGAGAAATATACACATGAATTAAAGATATGTCAAGAAATGTACTACAATGGTCCTCAGAAAAACCTCTTTGTTTTTTTTTTTTTTGGTACCGGGGATTGAACTCGGGTCCTTGCGCTTGCAAGGCTGGCCACTGAACCGCTGTGCTAAATCCCCGGCCCAGAAAAACCTCTTAAATCCTCAATAATCTGAATCCCTTACATTTCATAATCCTTTATAGTTTCAAAGAGCTTTCATATAATTGGTTTCATTTCACCTTATTAATTTGACAACCATGTGGGGTAGGTAAATGTTTATCTTCAATCTTCATTTTCCAACAAGGGGACCCAGGCTCAGAGAGGCTGATTTGTTAAAGGTCAAAAACTAGCACATGGCAGAGCCAGGCCTCCCTAGAGTCAAGAATATTTTTCCTAAGTATAATTCCTGGATTACCTGCATAAGAATCACCTGTGCTATTTTTATAAATATAGATTTTAAAGTCCTACCACCTTTGGCTTATTGAATAAGAATTCGTAGGAGTGGAGCTAAGAATTCTGCATTTTATAATCGACAATAAAGTAGAAAATAGCTGTGTATCAGGTAATGATGTACAAGCACATCACCGAATCCAGCTAGAATTCACGTAGTACAGTGTGATGCCACCAGATCATCACCAGGCAGGGAAAGTGAGTTTAAAAGAATAGTTTCAAGCCTGGCTACAAATTAGGATCATCAGGAAAATTCTTTCACTTATTTAAAAATTAATATCAACTCTTATTTGAATGAAGGAAAGATGATGAATCCAACACCTTTCCCTAAGTGATTTTTACTTGCAGACAGGGTTGAAGATCACTTGTATTTCCTACATAAATATATCCAATATTTTCTGGAATTTTTCTTTTCCTTCTGATCAACTTCATGCCTAATGGAGTTCACTATCACACCGTAAGTTATTTAAACATTACAAGATAAAACGTCAAACACCTTTGACTTGATAGTTTTAAGATTAATAGATATTCATAGCAAGACGAATCATCGAATCATGCTCCATTTAGTTATAATGATTTTCAAATATCCAAATTAATAACCACTTTAGGCTTAGATGATATGTATTTCAGCTTTAGACAAGGATGATCCAGAAACTGAAAATAGGCATTTGGAGCAAGAGCTGCAGCCAATGGGCTGCTGGCAATGCAAGCGCAGACACTCAGCTCATTACAGGAGGGGCTGGGTACCAAGGTCCAGGGGCTTTGGCAAGGTCACTGACATCACTGTAGAAAAGTACAACAGTGAGCGCAGAGAAAATACTTTGCAATTCTGTAATTGTGGTTATCACAAAAAGCCTTATAATGTGTGATGCTTATTACATGCCTCAACAGCATATCTGAACATGAAATTTTCTATGAATCAATACTACAACCTGGGAGAAGATGGCTACAAACTAAAATTTTTCTATCATGCACGTGGATGTTAGAAAAATAGCCAGTAAAAGTAATATTTACAAAAATTAAAAACTACTATGGGGGAAAATGCCCATCTATACTTTTATTCTGTTGCTAAACCAAATCCTGAATATCTCTGGTTTATTTTGATAGAATTTCAAGAGACTCTCCCAAAGACTAATCAGATTCTTCTGTTGACTTAAATTCTATTAGTGAAAATACCCTTGCTGATTTATCAAATTCTCCCATACTTTAAAAACAGTTCTTTTTTCACATAGTGGAAATAAAACTACAAAGTCCTGCTATTCATCTGAGAAATAAACCTTGCATAGAAAATTTCTTTAATTCTGAAACTTTGTGTTATTAACAGAGCTACCACAATGTTATCTCACAATTAGTTCATTTTATATGAAAGTTCACTACAAAGCAATCACCACACATTTAGGATTTTTCTAAATATAAAATAAGTGGGTTTATAAAAATGCTTACCAGACAAATAATTATCTCTTCACAACCTAGAAAGAATTATTTCTGTGATGATATAATTATTAGTGTTTTGGATGTCTTGATGTTTCAAGTTTGATTCAATACAAAAAGCAAAAATTTACCCTCCCAATGGACACAATCTGCACCTGACTGAAAGCAGGATGACAGTGAGTTACAGCCATCAGTCATGCAAAGGCAAAGAACAAAATCTGCTTTTCCAACAGCACACATTTTCTGCCTTTGACAGACACATTAGGCGCTGGTCCCGTCCTCTTCAATAACCCGGTTCATGCTGGTGCCGTGTGTGATGTGAGTCAGGGGGTTGTTACTGAGGTCGCGGATGCTGCTGTGCCGTGACTGCTCGTTCAGCCGGTGGGAACTACTGTGCCTGGAGTGGTCCGTCAGTCGTGACATGCTGCCGTGAGGTAGTCTCTCCTCCATCCCTCGGTAACTGCAGGGAGTGTACCTGAGGTGGGAGAGTTGATTTTGCAGTAGGTAACAGAACACACTAGAAAATAACACCAATATTTTTCATGAACATGCCTCAGGGAGGGAAATGATTAAGAAACCAATAATGAGAAAGCAGTAACCAGTTTTGATTATTAAGAATAAGTTTGTTAACGCTGTATAATTATCTGACATGGTTAATAAAGAAGGGGAGTAACCTCAGGTTTAGCGCTAAGGCCCTATTCCCTGCAGGAAGACAAATGCTAAGGTTAAGTAAGGCTGACTGACTGGAGCTATGCAAGTATGGACACTTTCTCATTCAAGTAAATTTCTGGATGGTGAGCAGGCTGAAGAAGAGGAAGACTGACAGCAGAGAAATGTGGCACTGCCCTTGGCAATCTAAAAGACTGATTATGCTTAGCAGTAGTGCAAACTCAAATTTAGTCAAAGACGAGGATCGGAAGAGGGAAATCAAGAGGCGAAACTAGTGAATGAATTGGCAAGTGCCAGCAACAGCGCATGCCAACAGCTTCTTTCCAGACAGCCTCGTGAACAGCTGAATTAGCCACCTGTACATGGTCTTAATTATTTTCATCCGGCCTTCAGGCAGGGAAGACACTCTTTCACAGAAGCTATGTGCCAACACTCTGAGGCCTACATTCCTGCTGCAGCAAATTCTTGCTACCCTCAGAGAAGGCTGCTTTGACCTCTGAGCCGTCCCCTGGCCCACACAGCGTAGTGTGGGAAGCTTCCTTCATCACTATTCCTATCCTGAAAGGCAGCACTGGTGCTGTTCAATTTTCTTTTCTTGCAATCCTGAGTCCCTGAGCCCCACCAAAAGCAACAATACTGTAAAATTTCCTGCCATGAGGAATGAGATATTATTAGCTCTAGGCCAGCCAAGGTCAAGAAAGTCAATGACAACATTTATTATTAGTCCTTCACTTATAGAGCTAGAGTGCTATTTATCAATCTTTCTGGCTTAACAGTGAACCCTTTCAGGATAAGGACCCTATTTTATTTCTCTTTTGATCTCTAGTGCTTCAAGTACTTTTCTGTTCATACTCTCATACATTCTTTTATAAATTAATTTAGGATAATAAAATGCAAATAAGAGTATAATTTATAATTTCAATGAAAACACTGTTAGTTTGTTTTGCTTCTACAGTGCTAGGGAGCCATCCCAGGGCTTTGGGTTGACAGGCAAATCATATTCCCCTGAGTTACAATAAAATCCCCAGCCATTTAAAAAAAAATAATCATCAAGGGCTGGGGATTTAGCTCAGTGGCACTGTGACTGCCTTGCAAGCATAAGGTCCTGAGTTTGATCCCCAGAACAACAACAACAAAAATCACCATCAAAACAACTAATCATAAGCAAATGAGGATTTACTGGCCATTGAAAAGCATTCACCTCATAATAATAATTGCAACATATCTCACGACTCAATGTAAATCATTTACAAAATTTAAAGATTTGAAAGGTCCTCCAGTTTTATAGCAATGCTTGTCAAAGAACTTTTTCATTAGATTGCAGTTTAAAAAGTACGTCCTTTGAAAATAATTTTTTTAAAAAGTTTTGTCCCCAAATTAAAAAAAAAACAGGTAAAAGAATTTAATTCTTATTTATTAAAAAGCATTTCAAGCTAAGCATGGTGGAGCACATGTGTAATCCCAGATGTTCAGAGGCTAACACAGGAGAATCTTGAGTTCAAGGGAAGTCTGGGCCATGTGGCAAGGCACTGAGACACCACCTCAGTAACAAAAGGGTAGTTTTATTTAGGAACTATGCAGATTTAAATTTGTACTGCATGTTTTAGTAAAATAATTACAATATCTGGAGAAGAAAATATTTCATGATGGGTTTTGCTGTTTTACTTTAATAATCATTTTACATAATGATTATTGTCCTAAAACTAAGTGGAAGATTTAATTTCCTAATATGATCTGCCAGCTGATTCAGAGACTTTTTTGCCACTTGATGGCTTCATACATCTTTTCCTTCTAAATGGCTTCATAAGTATCTATTTCAAATAAATACGACAAATGCAGAAAGCAAACTATGCAGTGTTCCAGTAATGACAGAAAATCAGTTAAAAGAATCACCATTTAAAAATGTGAATGAGTATTTTCTAACAAAGTCTAAGCTTTCAGTTATCAATAAGACTTAAAGAATATATTTTCATACAAAAATTATTTTGTATAATTATACATGTATACATGCTATTCACAAAAAGTTCTTGAATATGAACAAATATTAAATATGAATAGCCCGCCTATGGATAATTAGGAACAATTAAATAGAAAATTAATTATAGTTTAAATTGTGTATGGAGGAATTCCCAAATTTATTTATGTTTTGAAAGTCATTTGAACCAAAGTGACTAATATACAATATGAAAATATAACAATTTTAATACAAGTTTAGGCAAAACAATTGGGATGCTTATTTGGACATTGGTGTTAAAAAGACATTATGGAAGTGCCAAAATAAAAATGAGAAAATGAGATGATTTCTTTTTGATTCTCCATGCCATTTGCTACCACTAATCTAAATAACTGAATTAACTGTAGTTTCATGGTATCTCATTATTCACTCCTGAGCTTTCCCTTGTCATGTCACCTACTTCCCAACCTGATCAGCTCTCCCAAACCTCCACTGACCTACTCTGCCACCTTCTCTCTTGCCCGTCCCTCATCTAAGTACCAATTAGTTCCCCTTTGAAGCGGATACATGTGCACAGGTATACTCTACATAGCACAGAGGTCAATAATTACCATCCAGGTCTGCGTCAGGTTAAGTGCTGGGTGTCTGAGTCCCATAACCGATACACCACGAGATGACAAGGGAGGCCAAAAGACAGCATCACACGTCAAGGCAACATGGACTGAAGCAGAAAGAAGTCTCCAGGAGGTGGCTTTGGAACTATGAGAAACCTTGTTCAGACTTTCAGATTCAACATAATCTTGGGACCTCTCAAATCTTCCCTGAACTTTTGGGTATGGCAGAGGGTCCTACAGCAGGAGTTCCTGTACCTCAGTACAGCAGGGCTTCAACAGGCTGCACTGTGGCTCTGGGCCTTGAATTTCTGGGAAACTTCCACATTACTCTTAAAGTCATTATTTATTTGGTAAATATACAGACGTATGTGCTGTGCTGTATACTAAGGAGGAACACAGAGATATGACACCCAGTCTCATTCTCCAGAAGCTGCACATTTGGCTGAGAAAAGAAACTACTGAAAAGAGATTATAAACAAAAGAATGATAAAGATAAAAAGCAGTATATTAACTGCCATGGAAATTGGAATTACACAGGCCCGAGAATGGGTGTGATTTTGATTAAGCAGAAAGGTAGGAAAGACCATTACTGGAAGTCATAATCTACTCTGATTCTCATGCCATATACCTGTAGTATAGATTTTCTCATGTCTGTAGCCCTTTATTTGACTCTCATGCCCACTGTTCTTCTCCCTGTATTATTATTATTACTACCGTAAGTATTTACTAAGGTCTTTTTCTTTTTTATTGTAATTTAAGGGATTCTACCTCACAATTTTAATAATCAACTACCTTAAATGGACGATTATACATTTTCTTAATTAAACTCCAGTTCTACTCAGATTATAGTAGCTGAAAACTCCTATCTTTAATTGTTCTCAGAAATTCTCTACTCAATAGGAACTTATCTTTTACCATTCATTCACCCTATTATGTCCTGTAAGATATTTTCATGGACTGCTCCTTCTCTTTCCTAAATCTCTATAACATCTATCATCTCTAACACTATTTAAATTGATCTTGGCTTGAGCTTTTATGTAATTGGTTCATTTGTATATGTCCTATCTTGTCTATAAGGTCACAGAAATTACATCTTACTTTCTTCTATACCTGTTTATACACAGAATGTCACATGTGCAGTTGTACTATAACTGCTATTCATTATTAAAAAGGATAAGGCCGATAATGTCAAACGTCAATGCTGAAAGTTCACGGATGTGGTGACTGATTATATTCTAAAGGATTCTATGATTCTCTCTTTTTTTACTGGTGTCATATATCAGGGCTGCTAAGTCACTGTAGAACTTTCCTCATTGGTCCTACTTACAATCTTCTTCTTTCCTATGCCGTTGCCAAATTCTTTTTCTAACATTCAAGTCTGATTTTATCACTCCAATGCTTAAAGTCCTTCACAGTGTCTCAGTTCCCTCAGGGGAAAATCCAAATTCCTCAGCATGGTTTCATCTCCTAAAATTGTGCAAAGGCACATACTGGGCTCTGGGCCACACCCAGGTAGCTGACAGCCTGCCTCCTCCTTGCCTCTAGCATGCTGCTTCCCCACCTTTCATTCCCAGCTGCCTCCTTAGAATCCTATTGCAAGTATGATAGGGAAGTTCCCGGGAAGCTGTCTCTGACTTTCCATGTGAGAGCGGTGGTTTTCTTCTCTGGGATCCCAAAGCACCTTGTGCATACTTTTATTATGCCTGCTAAAACATACTGAATAGTTTAATTTGTCTTCCATTTCTTCATCCTTTGAAATTAAAAGAATGTTTCTCAAATAGAAATGCTAAGTGAAAGGAAATAACCAAGGAGAAAGAATCATTAAATGTGGTTAAAAACAAGATACTGGTGATGTTAGAGGGTGCAGCTTAGGTAGGTAGAAAAGAGATATTTAAAATAGTGATTTAAAAAATCTGCCAAGGCAAAGAAAAATGGATACAAGAAGATAGGTAGCAGAGGGCCAGGGATTTAGCTCAGTGGCACCGCAACTGCCTTGAAAGAGCAAGGTCCTGAGTTTGATCCCCGATACCAAAAAAAAGATACACAGCAGAGTGAAAATAAGATGGCTACTTTTTGAAACACAGTGTGGCTCAAGTTAGAAGGCAAAAGAGAGCAAGTTAAGAGGAAAAAGTAGAAGGTCAAGAATGGGAGTACAGGAAAATGGGAGTGTAGGAGGACAGAGAGAAAACTAAAAGAAGGCGGGACTGATAGGTACAAACACTGCTGACTTTACCTATCAAAATTTTCACTCAATTTCCCAACCTAGAAATCTTTGCAAAAAGGTAAAAAAATAAATCTTTCTTTTTCTAGCAGCTATATGAATCTGTCACCAACTCCCATCTTTTTTTCTATGTATCTTTGCGGTCAGTTCTTCCTGTCTTCCCCCTGCCACCACTGTCCAGGAAGCTCTTCTCACCTCTCAAATGTCTTACTGCAAGGCTCCTAAGCAGTTTCTACTCCCAGTGGCTCAACTCTCAAAATTAACAAGAAACCCACATCCAGACATCTTGCAAGGATACTTTCTGTGAGCACTGCCTGAAACGTTCTTCCACTACCGAATAATCACTTCCTCTATTCTACTGTATCTAGTAAACGTGGGCTGGCAAACTGTGGTCCCCTGTCTGATTTTGTAAATAAAGTTTTATTGGGTCACAGCCACTCCCATTTGACTCCTTTGTGTCTATGTTGGCTTTCACGCAAGTAACAGAACTGAATATGGAGTGGCAACAGACACAGTTGACTCTTGAAGCCTTAAATGTTTACGTCTAACTCTTTATGGGAAAAGTTGGCCAACTCCTGGACTATATTACTGTATTTCATTTTACTTTAACTAGAAAGTGATTTCAGACACTCATACTGTTCCAAGTGACAAGGTAGGTTATCTCACTTAATTTTTACATTACTAACAGGTCAGATGCACTATTTATATTTTATAGATGATTTCAGACCCATGCTCTTAACCACCACATGGGATATACTATCTTTCCAAACAATTTGGAAGGTTATAGAGCAAAGCTCATGCGTAAATCATTTTTGTATTCCAAGAGGTTAGCAAAGGGCCATGTAGGTATTGTCATTGTTTACTAAATTAATCTTACTAATCTAACCACCTTCACTTTGTCTTCTCCCTTCTCGGTGCCCACAATGACTCCAAACCACTTACTTTACTGTATCTGGTCAAGGTTCTAATGTCCTCTAACTGGCTTTATCATCCCTCCCTCCACTGGGGATGGAACTCGGGGCCTGCACTTGTGAGGCTGGCACAGCTTCTCTGAGATAAATCCACCACCCCTTCTAACTGGCTCTAAATCTGGGATGATTCTATTAAGCAAAGTTCAAAAGACTCTAGGAAATTTCTGTTTCCGAACTGGCTTCTCTTAGCACATGATAAGCAACCACAAACCCACCTGCCATCACGGGATCGGTGCAGGCTGCCGTGGTAGCTGCTCACTTTGCTGTGGACACTCCCTGCTTTGCTCCTTTGGTCATCCACCATAGCCAGCTGAGTTGAAGACGCATGCGTGGAAGTTCCTTGGGTGGAAGTTCCCCTAGATTTTCTTATAATGGGAGTATTTGGGTCCCTCAGGAGCGACTGAGCAAAGTCAGGTTCCTGAAGTACCTGACGGCTCTCATTCACTATCCTAGAAAATACAATAAAGTGTTTAAAATACATACTAGCATCTCAATAGAATACGCCAATAAAAAATACTGTGGTCCTGATATTATTCTTGAAATTAATTGGTCTCCAAAGTAGGTCATTAAGGACTGATTTAAGGTAACACTGCTAACAGAAAAATCCATGTCAGTCTGACCCCAAAAGTGGCAGGGATGGAAAGAGCCCTGTGTTAGAAAAATGAAATCAAGATTTTGATTCCAACTCTATCAATAAATATGCGATCTTAGGCAAATCACTATCCCTTCTGTCTTTCATTTTCCTTATCTAAAAAATAAAAGTATATGCTTATTTCATCATTTCTAAAAAGGTCTCTTTAAGATAAGGAAATTTACAATTCTCAAGACACCAAAATATTACAAAGATTAAATCTCAGGCATACTAACAGCTACGGAAAAAAATTTAAAGGGATGAGTTATTGCCAGGAGCAAAGGTTTTTAATTGCTACAAATGCATTAAAAGTAAATGTTTATGATGATTAAACAGAAATTAAATTAATAAAAGAGGAAATTAAATAGATCTTTACATGTGTGTTTATGTAAATGACTCAGAATCAGAGTAAAAAGTCAGATAAACAATTTCACTAAAAATAAAACTCTAACATGTACAGACTGGGTCACATATTGAGAAAGTATATTCTAATTCTCAAATTACAAAAGGATTTTTGCTGTTGTTGATAACAGAGTAGATGAGTTGAAGAGAGACTAATATTTGTTGACTACATTCTCTAAATCTCTTGGTAATGTTATTTTTCATTTTAAAAAATTATAATAAAAAACAAACATAATGCTTAAGTTTTTATGGAGAGAAAAATCTATGTTCATCTGAAAGCCAAATGTTTAATGGGAACACCAGAAGCCACTAAAATGTTCTCACTAAAAACAGAAATATAAGAGTATGTACTGCTACCACTCTTAATTAGCCTTGTTTCAACAGCTCCAGACTGCAATTAGATAGAAGATAATCCATTAAGGTTATAAAACTTTTACATGTGTTAAATTAGAAGAGAACAGTCGATCTTTCTGCATCACTTTTGGTTATACTTGGAAGAACAATGGACAACTGCAAATGAAGTTTAACTCTCAACATAAAGCACCTGTGCAAGTCTCGCCAGGCACTTAACTTTTGTCCTGTTTTTTTCATCTGTAAAACAAGAGTTGAGACTACATACTAACCCTCACAGGACTATCAGGAGGGTCAAGTAAAATCTTATCTGAAGGAATTAATTTGTTTTCAATTTTAACAAAATTATAATTTGGATTTTTTCATAAAGGTCAGCCTTGCTTCAGATGTTCTGAATTAGTAAAGGAACAGATCTCAGGCATGGTTCCACTTGGCCATCTTATCAAAATCAGGTGTTAGATTTTAATTACAAAATGCTATTGTGCCAATCATAACCGGTGGCTGCTGACAAAATTACAACCTTGTTTGAATACTTGAATACTCTAAATCCAAACTGTGTTAACGTAAGCAATACAAAAAAACTCACATAGAAGCTTATGAACACTGTGAGAATTTGTAAACTTACTCTTTTTTCCTACGACCATGAAAAAAACTGGCCCATTCAAAGCATGTCTTTTTGCTTCCAACCCAAAAAATAGAGGGAATACCAACTATGAGAGCCATCAGGTACTTCATGAGAAAGAGAATCAGGTCTGGACGACTCATCTGAGTAACCTATAAGAGGGCAGAGAAAAATATCTCAAATATAGAAAAAAATTTAAACAAAATAAGCAACAGTAAGCTAATTCTACAAATTTGATTTTCACTTATAAGGTTCTGTGGTAATTTTCTTAATTTAAGATATATCCCTCAAAATCTGATCAAAGACTTATAGTCTATGTATTGATCCCTGTATTTTTATTGGCTGACACTAAACATCTGCTGAAGAAAAGTTTGCTGATGAAGAAAGTAAATCTTGGATAGGCCTAGACACCTACTTTCATCTTGGCAGTTTAACCAGTGGGAAAGCATTACTCTCCTCCTTCCATTTATTAATGTTTTTCTTTTATTTGCCTTTCCTTCTCCCCTACTTCCTATGTACTCTGCAGCTGTTTTCAAGCCCCTTGTTAGAGCCTATGAGTTAGTTTGAAGTACATTTTCTAATTTCTTGTCAATTGAAGTTTTTAAAGTTTCTTTTTATTGCCCATTTCAAATTTAATTACTGTGGTCAGAGAATAAGGTATGTACTAAGCTGATTACTTTAAATGTTGGAGATTTTATGGTGACTTAGGACACAGTTAATTTTTATATTTCTTGGGTGCTCCAAATTCTCTATTGTTGGGTTAAAAAAATCTACATTAGACTACATTTACTAGTTCTACTGTTCAAACCTCATATTCTTTATGATTTTCTGATGGCTTACTTATTTTTATTAGGGATATGGTAAAAACCTCTCACATGACTATGAGCATGTCAATTCTAATCCTGTGAATTTTCACTTTCAATTCTATGTTGGGTTTAAGTTTGGGAATTCTCTGGCCCCTCATTTTACTTTGTTAATATTTTGTCTAATGTTAACATTGCCACATCATCTTATTTCTTCCCCACACCAGCATATTTTCAAGAATTTTTTTTTTCCTCTTTACCATGCATTTCTTTCAAGTCTGTGTTTGTTGTGCCTTTTTTTAAGTGTGCAGGTTATCCCCACTAAAATATAAATTCCACAAAGACAGAATTTTTACCCATCACTGTTTAACTCCCAGAGCCTAAAACAGTGCCTAACATACATTGGGGAATACATATATAAATATTATATAGTACATGTTAGGAAAAAATTGTGGTTAAAATTATTTAGTTAACACCATATCTTTTTTACCAGACACGAGAAAGGGTGCCTATTTTTAGTTACCTATCTTCCAAGTATTCAGAGTAATTTTTTAAAAAATAATTATTTTTATTATCATTGCTAATTAATTTTGCCAGAAAGTACAGCCTTGTGTTCCCCTTTTTCTTAAAGTCTTTAAAAGTACTTTTATTTTGCTTTTAATCTTGAATGATGAGTTAGTAAGATTATAATCTTGGCATTTCAAAGTTCATTGTCTTTGAGTTTTTTGTTGCTGTTGAGATGTATCTAATACCCTTTAGAAGACTTGTTTTTTCTGTCTTGCAGCTTTTAAGTTTTACTTTTTTTTCAATTTGGGAGTACTTTATTAATACCGACCAAATCATGAAAATATCATGGTAGCTTAGCTGATCCTTCTAAGAAGCCAGTTGATCTGGTCTTCCCTAGTTCCAGTATCTTGACTTTTTCTTCATTCTACCTGTGGAGAAGATAATTCGAAGGGCCCCAGGAAGTTGTTTGCCTCTTTGGAGAGTTCAGCAACAGTACAGATCCCTTGGGTCCTTCACGAAGATGATGCCATATTTACCAAGAGACTGAGCAATCTATGAGATATCTGTCAAGGCAGTCCACTTATTGATTTTGCCCTAGCCAGTCCACTTATTGACTTCAGATGTGGGTACCTTATGAAATACATAGTTCCACAATCCTCAGCATTTAACTGAAGTCTTGTTGGAGCTTAACAAAGGTACCACTGATGATCTGATGAAGGCAAAGGAGCTACAACACTGGGGTCACACTACCGACACCCTGATCCTGATGACAAACACCAATGTGGGTTCTGCAGGCACAAAGACACTGCCAGCTTCTCTTGCCATCCTAGCCATGCGAGTCTCAGTTTGTACCTCCGTCTGTACTCCTTATGAGTGCACCTGGCTTTTTAATAGATGAGCTTCCTCCTTGCTTTTCAAAGCATCTTTTGGGCGAACTTCTCAGGTTTTTTACCTTCTGCTCTGTGGAATGTCTTCTTTGCTTAAGGGTTGTAGCACAGGAAGAACCTTCTTTTTCTTCTCTTCGACATTTTCATGATTCCAGCCAGAAAAGAGCTCTTTTACCTTTTTGTTTTCTAGTTGCACTGCATATTTCTCACTGAGGTTGCCTTTTATTTATCCTGGTTATTATTCAGATTCAGATTTTTCTATTACTTTTAATCTGAGGACCCAAGTTTTCAATTCTGGAAAATTCTGATGCATTAGTGCTTCTCAGTCATTCTTTTTTTTTTTAAGAGTAGGAAAATTTTATTTAGGGAAAGAAAGCTTCTGTCTAAAAGAGACAGAAGGGGGACAGGAAAGTGAGTTGCCCCTATACTTCACTTCTAAGCTGTCTTATCTGTTCTTATATATTCCAATTTTATTTCTACTCATCATAATCTCTTTTTCCTTTAAAATGGCTTTTATTATTTATCTTTTGGAGAATCCTAATCGTCAAAGTAAGATAAAATTAGCCTATTTTATTTCATCTGGGAATGAATTCATCTTTTCATTGATTTTGTTAGATGTCTGTTTAGCTTTTTTCTTTTTTTAATAGTGTTTTGGGATTACAGCTTGCAGATCTATAGAGAATTGTCACTTTTTCTCTCACTCTCCACTTCTATCACCCTTCCTCTTGCCCTTTGGTTTGCCTTCATCAGTGGGACTCTAGCAAAAAACCAGCTCTTGTCCTGGTGACTAGAAGCTCCAGATATTAGTGCTATTAGATTCCATCAGTGCCACAGCTATTTGGCTCAAGCATTGGTCTTTAGGTCTCCCATGTCTCTAGGTAACTGCCTTTTTTGGGTTTGGTTTTGAGATACACATATTGCCTTGGGGAGCCTTTCATACCAATCTTCTTTCAGAAACAGGAGTGTCCTACTTCGAACCAGTGGGCCTAGCTATGGACTCCTGATTTCCACTTAACTTGTTTTTGTTTGTTTTTGGCAGTACTAGGGATTGAACCCAGCTGGGCCTTCACACTTCACTACATCTTCAGCCCTTTTAAAATTTTTTGAAATGGAGTTTTGCTAAGTTCAAACTTATGATCTCTCTACCTCAGCTTCCCAGAGTGCTAGGGTTACAGCTGTGCACCATCGCTCCTGGGTTTGTTACTGTTTTTATTTAGAACATAATTGTGGTTGTCCTGATAAATTCAAAAACATATAACAAATTATAATCATGATCTGAAATTAACCTCTAGTTTTCACATAAAAATCATCCATTAAATACTTGTGGATATTTATCCTGACTTCCAGAGAAGAGAGGTTGGACAGGTAGTCTCTTCATGCTGACAGATGAAAATACAAATAAAGAAGCCACAGGATTAAGAACTACAATTAAGTAGATGAAGCAGGTCACAAATAACCTTGTTAGCAAATTCAATGGCTTCTTTCTGGCACACCTTTTCTAGCACTTCACACACACTAGTTATCAATGATCATTTTATGTTCTACAAAATTTTCACCCTAGTCAAACATATCTTCTTGACTTTCTACTCTTGCTTTCTCTCTTTCACCCTATTCTTCCCTACTACCCTCTTTATAGAAGTTTTTAAAGACACTCTTCTCTATATATACTCTCAACTAATCAGTCAGATTAGTTAGATAGATTTTATATATA